TCCATCTAAAGGAGGAACCCACGTTTTCCATCTCCATTCCTGACCTGAGATGATTAAGTCTGCTCTCTAAATCTCTAAAAGGGCTTGGAGCAGTCAAGGGAATCTCATGGCATGTAGGAAAATAAAGCCTAGATCAGAGTCATCCGTGTAAATATTTTACCAGGTTTATGGGAACATGCAAAGGCCACCTTCCTGGTGACCTCTCCCAGTGTCCTCCAGCCACCCCCAGGAGCTGCAGCTTGGCTCTCCCTCTGCACTGCTCCCAGTCCCATGGGAGCAGGGCTGAGCTCTCTCCTGAGCCATTCGGGGCTTGGAGAAAACAGAGGGAAGGGTGAAGTATGTGTTTGAATGAACCTCACCCTCAGATCAGCCTTCAGTAGTGGTCCCTTAGATCTCAGTGCTGGGAGATAAGGCAGGGAGGGGTGCCCTGGGGAGATGCTTTCAATCGTATTTGCTCTGTGGTGTGCTGAGCTGTGCTAACACGAGCGGTGCCTCCGGCAGCTCCCGTGGGTTGGAGGATGGAAAACCATCAGGCAGAGCTGGTGGCTGTGGGACACGGTTACTGACTGCATGTCCCCATCTGCTGTCACCTCTTGGGGTGGGAAATGGCCCAAACTGCAGGTCATGATCTCTGCTGAACGTGGCACTGTGCAGGCAGCACCTGCTGCTGATGCTGCAGCCTGCTCTGCCCAGCTGCTTCCATCAGGCGCATTTAAGAGCTGGATTTGTGGTTCTTCAGAAAGGTCCAGAGGGGTTTTGCACTCTCCACCAGTCCAGGAAGGCAGCAGGCAGCTGAAATTGCAGCTCATCTTCTCTAACCCCTCCTGAAGCACCCTCACTCCTGAGGTGTAGATATTCTCAGTTCAGTGGAAGGAAGAACAAAAACAATTTCTCACAAGATGTACCTAAGAATCTTAGAAGAAAAAAATTCAAACAATTATCTCTCTTTCTATAACCATTGTTTATAGATATAATTTGCTAAAAGTGCTATTCTTAGCACACCAACAGTGTTAGAAGTTTTCACCTTAAAATCAATCAAGTCTCAGGTCCACTTCTGTTCCTATGAAAATTGTAGATTTCTTAATACTACACTTAACAATAAAATGTCTTTCAATCCTTCTGCATCTTGGAGTCAGATGCCAATCACTCTCCAATCAAAACACCCCCTGCTACCACACTGGGGAATGACCCATCTCCCCTCCCCAGTCCGTGGTGCTTCCAGGGGGTCGTGTCCTCTCCTTGCACTGCGAGGGAGGCCAGGACAGAGCTGAGTGTCCGCTGGAACGAAAACCCCGAGCAGGGAGGCTCCGAGCAGTCTGACCACGTGGGGATGCTGGAGCCCTGTGCTTGGCACTCGGGAGGGATTGTGAGCTGAGGCAGCCGCGGGAATTCTCCATCCAGGGCTCCTCCTCACCCCGTGTCTCCAGCCCAGCCCTGCACCAGCCTGGTTTGTCCCAGCACTCCAGTGTCTCCCAGTTCATTTGGGAGTGCCCAGGCAGGGACAGAGGGTGGGCTCACTGTGACCATGATGATAAAGCAGCTGGCCACACTGCTGTGCCTTCGTGCTGCTGCCTGCTGGAGAGGGGATGGATGGTGGCAGGAGCAGAGGACTTTTCCTTCTGCAGCTGGGCTCTCCATTGCTGCTGGGACCGTTTGCCTCGGCTCTGCCTGGAGCATGACCTCAACAAAAATCCCTGCTCAGGGATTTTTTAATCCCTCTCAGTCCGTGGAGGGAAGTGGGAGGAAGCACAGCTCCCTGCTCGCTGCGAGGTGCCGCAGATGCTGATGCTTCTCCCACCCGCTTCCTCTTCCCACCAGGCAAACCTCACGGACCCTGGCGCTTGCACCCCGTAAATCACTCGGCCACTCCTGAGCTGCTCCAGACACATCAGCTCTGGGGCTGTGCATGGGCTGCTCATCAGGGAGCCAGAATAGCCCCCGCTGCCCAAGGGCTTCCTAACTCAACAGCCACCCTAAACACGGGGGGCTCACCAGGCTGATGAGGACACGGCTGGAGCATCACCCAGCGCTGACACGGTGGTGACACTGCGGCAGTGTCACTGCTGCTGCAGGTCCCTGTCCTCAGTGTGGACAAGCACAGACCCAGCACTGTTTTCCTGGTGAAAGCACCATGGTTTGGTGGGGGCTGAAGGGGGACACGTCCACTGAGGAGGAGGAGGAGGAAGGAGGGGTTGGGAGCGGGGCTGCTCGGTGGTGCCGCGGCTTCGCAGATCTCATCTGGCAGCGCCGTGGGAAGTGTTTCCAGATGCTTTGGAGATGCTCAATTTATCTCCTCCTCCACTCTTGGCTTGCCAAATGGCTACAGCAGCAGAACTGGCCCCACTGGGCAGCTGAGGCAGACCAGAAACAGCAGTTGCTGGGAGCTCTGGGGCAAGGGGGATTGGTTTTGATAGATTCAAGGCTGGTCTTAAAAGTCAGGAAGGGAAAAATAAACTTTGCAGGGCTTTTGGGTTATTTATTTTAACCACCTGCATGTTATGCAGGGGTGGGAAATAGTAGAAGGGTGAAAAAAAAAAAAAGGGGCAGTGGTTGAGAGCTACTCTGCTCATCCCAGTGCTGTCTCAGCCATCCCACAGCCATCACTCTCTGCTGCAGGGCTTTGCAGCCCCTCAGTCCAAGGCAGACAGTGCTGGTGGTGGATTAAATCACCTCCAGCTGCACAGAGGTGGTGGGATGTAGATCATGCCCCCACGGGGGTCCCAGCACTCTCCCACCCAGCACTGGGACAGGCAGCTCCCAAAGCTGCAGCTGCATGCATCGCTCAGGCCCCACGATTCGGACGCTTTTATGTTCATTTCCCACAAATATTCCAGTTTTCTGGGCCAAAGCAGCTGGAAGTGGCTCTTGGAGCCAATTCACACAAGTTTTGTTGTCTCCCAACACCGCCTTCCCACCCTAAGCCTCAAGTACTTCTCACTGCTGTCAGTACCAGGATGGGTGTTTGTCCCACCATGGGTGTTTGTCCCAGCACTGTGCACACAGTCCCTGGTGAAAGTCCCCACAGCCAGGCTGGGAACACAGTGACTCACATGAAGTCTGGGACTGCAAGTGACCCAAATGCAAATTAAACCAAAAAAAAAAAAAAAAAAAAAAAAGGAGGTTGGAAACAGCAAAAAGGACTAAACCAGTGTGTGTTATTCTCTTGTTACTCTCTGTCCTCAGTGTTGCAACCACCCAGAAACGGGGAAAGCCTTTAGCCAGGCACAGTGCTGGAGCATCCCCTGGGCACAGCGCTGTCAACAGCAGCAGTGTCTCCATAGTGGCAGTGTCCCCAACAAGCCTGGCTTGTCCCCACCCCATCACCACACACCAGACTCTCCAAAAGGTACAGCTGCCTTATCAGCTGCCTCGAGCAGGCGAGAGTAAACAGGACGTCCCACACCAGCGCCGGGGTGCAGATGAAAGCAGCCTGGCCTGCAGAGTCTGCCAAGTATGCGAGAGCAGCAGGCTTTGCTTTTGTTTTCCTTTTGTTTATTAATGCCTGTATTTATTTACTTTTCAGCCCACGAGTAGGGAAAGGAGGAGGGAGAGGCTGGGAGCCTGGTGGGAGACAAACTGGAGGGCTGGTGAGCTGCCTTCCCCCACTCCTGAAGGCTCAGTGGGGTATATTTCATTTTATTTTATTATTTTATTTTATTTGTAGCTTTATTTTTTAATTTGTATTTGTATTTATTTTACTTTTTAAGCCCCATCCAGGAGTTGTACCATGCCCAGCATCCCCCCAGTGTTCACACCTGCCAGGGGCTCCTGTTCCTCACAGCAGCATCCCAACCCCAAGCCACAGCCCCTGGCTGCCCAGTGCCTCGACTGGCACTTAACCCACATCCCCCTGTCCTGTCTGGGGTGCAGGGGAGGGTCAGGCTCACTGAGGGTGACAGCACCACTGCTGGGAAGTGCCCACGCTGCCAAAACCGCAGCCTGTGAGCAATAGGAAACCTCATGGGGGAGCAGATGGGGCTCGGTGTCACAGCTTCCTGTGCCTGACGCAGGGCCCTTTGCTGACCCTGCACCAGAGGAGGCCTGAGGGCCACCAGATCCTGCACCCAACACACCATCCCTGGCCCCAGGCAGCTGGGGAAGGCAGCACTGCTGTCCATCCATCCACCCTTCCCTTCCTCCAGGGCAGTTTTTGGGGTGGCTGGGTCAGGGCAATGCTGGTTCTCTGGGGTGATGCTCTCAGCCAGAGCCCCACCTCACCAAGGGCTGCAGAGGCTGGGGGACTTTTGATTTTTGTGGCTGTCTGAAGGGTGAGCGGGTTGGGAGGAGGGGTGGCTGCTTCAGCACATGCCGATTTCCTGCCAGGCTGTATTTTTAGCAGGGCCAACCCTTGATAACCCAGAGACTGAAGCGAAACTGTGAAGTAAGTAAGTGTGCCTCGAAAAGGAAAAAAAAAAGGTGCTGGCTCTGCAGGAAGGCGGGGAGGAGGGGGTGGCACAGGTGGAAGCTGGTACCAGTGGCACGAACAGGACTGGTTTGGGGAGTGGGGGGGCAGATCTTAGGCTATCTCCACAGCCCATGAAAGCTGGGGCTTGTTTCTGGCAGGTGGATGCTCAGTGTTGACTGAAATTGCGGTGGAGAGGGCATGGGGAGGGCTGGGAGGGAAGGGGCTCCTCCCCCGCAGCCCCCAACCTTCCCACGCACACGCCTGCCCGCCGGCTGTTCACAACACCCTGCTAACAACCGGCTCTCACCTCATCCCCACCGCCTCCCTCCCAGCCCCGAGCCTGGGAAAAACCAGCCCTGAGGTGCCAAGTCCTGCCCGAGCCTTTTGGGAAGGGGAAGGAGGAGAGGAGCCTCACACCCCGGGATGCAAATGGCCAGCAGGATCCCAGTACCCGTGGGAAAAAAGGGACGGAGGCGCAGCCCCTCCTCAGAGCATCCCTGAGAGCTCGGCCAGAGGTGATAACATCTGCGGGGGATCAAGGGCTGTTCAGAGCAGCACATCCATAAAGAGACAACGGAGCCCGGGACCAGGTGACTGTGGTCAGCAAAAAAAGCCACTTTATTGGTGACCGCTCCCACGGGAACCCCGTGGCAGCGATCGGGTTCAGGTCCCTGAGAACACACTGTCCATGCTGGTTCCCCTTCCCACATCTATTGCTTTAAACACATCCTAGTTACAGAAAGCACAGAGTGACATTCCAGATACTGGAACATATAAATTAAGGTAAGTGATAGTTACAAGACATTGCAAATTATTTTTTTTCTTTCTTAAACAGATTATCAGAGGTCGGGGATTTTTCTTTTTCTGATCCACAGAAAATGTATAAAAAGCATTTTAAAAATCTACATATTTCTCAATGTGTTTTTTTTTTTCTTAAAAAAAAAAGGCACAGTAAAAAAAATACTGGCTCAATAACATATTTACAACACACCCATTATGGGCTATTTTCACTCAGCTTCAAGTTGGAAATGTTCAGTTCTGGCTCGGCCCAGGGGCAGAGAGAGGGCTGGTGTTGGCAGGCAGGGCAGCTCTCGGAGGATGCGAGGTCCCTCTCCCTCCCTGGATAAATCCCTCTCCATCAGGGAGAGCACAATGGGAGGGCTGGGAGATGCTGCCTGCCTGTGGCAGGTGCCCAGCTGGTGCAGCAGCCACAGCCAGGGCAAGGCTGGAGGATGCTCTGGCCCCACAGGGGACACACACAGCCCCCGGCAGACCTCGAGGTGTTCCTTTGCAGAGCTGCAGGGCTGCCCGAGCAGAACTGGAGGGAGACCCTGGACAAACACGGTGCCCACCCCACTGTGGCAGCTCTGGAAAATCCCTCCTCCCACGCCCATATTTATAAAAAGTCTTTACACCAGTCTCTAAATATTTCACCCACTGATGCTGCCAGCAACACTTCACCCGTGTAGGGGGAGCTCTGGGAAATGGAGTTACACCAACACCAGCTCCCAGCCACCCCACTGTCTCCCTCCAGTGAGGCTGCTGAGCACCCAGCAGCTTTGCAGGACCCTGGAGGAGCCACTGCCATGGCCAGAGGCTTCCCCTGCCCACCTCTGCCTTCCGAGCCAGGGAGCAGAACTGACAGGGAGCCCTCATCCAAACTGGGAGCCAGAGCTTCGCTGCTGAGATTTTGGGACTGGGAGAGAGGATGGGCTGGGTCAGGGGTTACGGGAGCAGGTTGAGGGGTAGATGCAAAGAAGGGAAGAACACACCAAAAAACTTAACATTTGAAAGGGAAAAAAAAAAAACCAAAAACCATCAAGGAGAAGCAAGCCCGGGGTGGGGCAGGGCCCCGCGCTGCGGCCGCTCCCCACGCATGGCGTGGGGCCCGCCAGCCGCGGGTGCCCGGTGGGTAAGTGCTCAGTTCCCGTCCCTCTCCACCATCCCGGCCGGACCAGGCAGCGGGCACGGGCAGCCGGGCAGGCAGGGCAGGGGTCAAGGGGCCGCACAGCAGCCTTCAGTACACACACACTGTGCAATACCACAGCAACGACGTCCGTCCGTCCGTCCGCCCGCCTGGCGGCGAGGCCGGACCGACACACCCGCACGCAGGTCCCGCACGCCCGTCGGATACCGGGGAAACTCGGGACGAGGTTGGAGGGCACGTGCACCTCCTAGTAAACCATGTTGGTGGGGCACCACGGCGTGTCGGGGTACAGCAGGCAGTGCACGGAGCGGAACCTGAGGAGGAGAGGAGCAAAGCTGAGCACGGGACGGTGGCGGCTCCACGGCAGCCCGGTTTGGGGGGAACAGGGACCCCCAGCTCACCTGGATGGGTCCTCCTCGACAGAGAAGGCTCCTTTCATGTGGATGGAGTTGCGCTTGTTTTCGAACATGCCATAGCTCAGTGTCACCTGGGGGGCAAGCACAGAGGGGTGAAGTGGCCGACATGGCCGTAAGGATCAAGCAGAGGAAAGGGGAGCTGCAAAATTCACCCCATTTCCCAAAGCCTCCAGTGAGATTTTGCATCACCCCTCAGGGATGGGGCTCTTCCCCTCTGCTGTTTTGGTCATACATCAATCAATATCTTAGCCATGATGCCCAATTTTTAGGTGACAACTTGGGGTACCTGTTTGTGGATCTCCGACTTTGGCACCTGGTGGAGGTTCTCCAGGTGGGAGTGGAAGAGGTTGCTCCGGATGAGCTTCACGCCCAGCACAGACTCGATGATGTAGCCGATGGTGCAGTCGTCAGGCAGGCGGATCTTCTCTGCAGTGCTCATGAAGTGACCCCCACTGCGGGGAGACAGAGAGGGGCTGCAGAGGAGCAAAGCCCAGGGGATGTGGGCACCCAGCGGGATTCTGGGCTTGGCCAGTGGGTGCCCAGCTCTGATTAAAAGTCACTTTAGGGGAACTGTAGCCCTTCCCAGCTTGTTTACAAGCTCCCTGCAGACACCCCCCAGAAGGCAAAGAGAGAAAGGTTGTGGGACATGGTCCAGCAACCAACCCCAAAAATGTCACCTCTCTGTGCCCTGGGGACCATGAGGAGTCCCCCTGGGAGTGCAATGCCAATGCTCTTACCTGGCCCAAGGGCTCATCTTCAGTGCCAGCCCCCGGCTGATACAGAACCCTGCTCCACCCGTGGCGAACCAGAAGTGCACAGGATGCTGCGAGAGAGGGGAACCAGCGCAGTGAGACAACAGCTCCTTCTCCAGGCAGCCCAAATTAAACCAGCCCCAAATTCTCCCCAGGCTCACCATCTTGTTCTCACTGATCCTCTCCGTGGCCTGGATGGGCCGGTCCAGGCTGGGCTTCCCGATGTAGATGTCCTGTGTGTGGGGGTAGCTGGAGAGCAGCTTCACCAGCATCCGCACGTTCACGTAGTTGTCATCGTCCACGTGGCAGAACCACCTGCAGTGACAGCAGTGTCACACCCACCCGGGGCATCTGCCCAGTCCCCTTGCTGAGGTACAACCCCAAAACCACAAATGGTCTCTGTTTGCACCATCCTGTCCCCCTTCAGCCCTGTGATTCCCCACAGCAGCTCCAGGCACCGCTTACTTTCTGCCGGACTCGATGAACTTGTCGTACTCCACGGCCATCTTGCAGGACAGGGCCTGGCGGCTGTGGGCAGCCGAGCAGTTGGTGTTGATGACGTTTCCTGCAGGGGAAAAAGAGGGGTCAGAGCCCAGCATTGGTGCAGGCCACACCTCCCCACACACTCAAACGGTGACACTTCACCACTCATGTCCCAGGTGTGCCAGGGGGATGGAATCTCATGGATGATCCCGATGCTCAGTGACCCACACGCTGTATTGCTTTGGGCAAATGAACTTTTGGGGGAATGTCTTTTTTGTCCATGTGAGAGAAGGGAAGGGATGAATAAGGAATGTGGACGCAGCAGATGCACTGTAGATCAGCCCTATCCACGTTTCAAGCATGATGCCACCCCACATCACCTTGCCTAGGGTGTACCAGCCACCCTGGGGCAGAAGAGGTGTCTGTGAGCCCTGAGCTTCCCCAGGACATGGTAGCAAAAACCCTGCCCTATTTTGCTTGCGCAGCTTAAAGGCAATCACTTCCCAGCTTGAAAAGGAGTCATTTGCATGGGGAGAACAGACCACGCTGACCCCAGCCTGGAAAATACTCCCATGAAACTCTGTCCACATTGCCATCCATCCCAGCTCACCTCAGGGACAAAGCGGTGCGAAGGCACCCTGTTACTGTGATCCCCAGCAGCACCATGCAGGGGATGGGCTGGGCTGACTGGGAAGTAAACCAGCCCCCAGATGGGGCTCCCAGGCAGAGGGTGCTTTAGGCACCACCAGTGAAACAAATTGTGTCCTTCTCAACCCAGGTTCCTGTGGTGAGGGTTTTTCAGAGTTCCCAGGGCAGGCTCCACACCAACCATGCTCCACAGATGGGAGCTTTTCAGGGGACCTGGCCAGGTCACACACACAAAGGGACAAGAGCCACAGACTCACGTGCTTGCTTCTTCAGCTCCTCATCCTCCCCGTCAGTGAAGATGAAGGTCTGAAAGAAAAGACGAGGCACCTCTGAGGACTGAGGGGCTGAGACCATGTGGCTCTGGATGTGACACAGCACCCCTGGGCAGCACCTGGGATCAGTTCCTCCAGGGTGACTTCTTCCCCCTTGTCCAAACCCCAAAGTGGCACTGGGGAGCCAGTCAGCCACACAACACACCCAGCTTCAGACCAGGACAGGAGCCGAGCTCCCCTCGGGAACAAACCCAGCCCCTGCACAGAGCATCCCCATCCTCTTGCCTTTTGCACGGGGAGCAGCTGGCAGGGAGATGTTGGGGGCCACAGGGGCTGTGCCAGCACAAGGGGAGGCGGGGGCATGGAGGGGAGCAGGTGCAGAGCGCGGCCTGATCTGAGCAGGGATTTCAGAGCTGAGCCGGCGCGCGTGGCCGGGGGCGCCGGAGCAGCCGCCCGGGCAGGTGTGTTTGCCCATGGCGCCGACTCCCAACCGCGTCCCCACCTGTGTCAACAGCACGTGCCTGTCCTTGGCCACTTGCACAATAGCTCCACGACTCCTCTCTCCTCCCTGTGTCCTACCCCAGGGGGCTGAGATGGTGCCAGTGAGCGCCACTTGGCAGCCCCAAGGAGGGGATGGTTCCCCACTGCCCCATCCCAGCACAATCCCACGGTGCCAGGCAGCACCCGACCGCCTCCCCGGGCCCCTGAGCTGCCTGCCCGGCTGCACTCCTCTATTTACACAGCTAATTCCTGGCATATGTCACCCAGGAAGGAGGACTGGAGGGGCTGCTCTGGGCCTGGGATTTGGGGAAGGACAAGAAGCAGGAGAGAGCAGGGGGTGGGAAAGGCATCGCCATCAATCAGCGGGCAGCAAACAAAGCTGGAGGAGAGAAACCACAACCAGCTGCCAAGCGCTATTAAAAACCAGACGTGCACAAAAGGGCAAAGGAAGAAAGACAAAAGGGCTGGGGGGGAAGGCAGGAGGCAGCAGAGGGGGGACGATGGAGCGCTGGGGATGATGAATTACAAGTGAGCTGGAAATTGGGTGCCACCCCGCAGCCGGCCCCGGGAACGCGCTGGGGTTTTGTGGCTTGTTTGAGGAGCTGGGTACAATAGTGGGGTTGACTTTACTCAGCGAGGAGAGTTAAGCGGGCAGCAGTCATTAGCATACAGCTGCACTGGTTAACCCAGCCCTGTTTGCTCAGGTCCCCAGCCGGGGCTGGTGGGGAGAGCCCGGAGCTGCAGTGAAGCTCAATGGGAGGGGACGGGGCTACAAGTGACCTTTGGAGCTTGAAAAGGAGAAAAGAAAAAGGCAGAGGGGAAAAATGATGGAGGAGGTGGGAAGGCAAGTTCTCACAAATGCACAGACTGCCGTGCAGCCTGGCTTGTGGGGAGGGACAGAGGTCAGGAAGGCTCTGAGCAAAGAGGATGGGGAAGAGCTGGTGAGGAGGGGACAGCTGGGGGACAGGGACACATCAGCTGCAGGGCCAAGGATGCCCGTGGTTGCTGTGTCTCCATGGACACGTCACTGCTGGGGTGGCACAAGGTCAGTGCTGTGTGTAGAGGAGTGTCACCCCCAACCAAATCGGGGTACAGCTGCTGGTCCCCATTTCCCCCAGGTGCTCAGGGACTGGTCAGGCAACTGACTGGGGTACAAACTGAAGCAGGGCAGCAGAACAGCATCCAAGGACGGCTGAGACAGCCCCATCACACAGGGGGGTTGGCACTCCAGCCCAGGTTTCAGCCTTGCTGGGGGGACAGCAAGGAGCACACAGCCTGTGCACAGGCGAGACAGAAAATGTTTGCTTGATTAGCTCAGAAGCGCCGTCCAGCAACTGCCTTCAGCTGCTCCAAAAATAACCCCACAACTAATCCTGCACTCAGCCTCTATAAATAGACCACAGGGACAATTGTTTATTACTCGCCTGCACCGAAACATTTCATCCTACCCAGGCATCTCCCCTCGGCCTCTCCCCACACACATCCCTGTGATATTCCTGGTGAGGGTGGACCAGGTGGCACCTCAGGGACTGGGACAGGGGCACACAGCTGCAAGTCACCCCGTGTGGGCACCTACTGGGGCCTCACAGGTTTCCCACATCCCTCCCAACCCTACCATGACATTAAATTAGAACTAAAACAATTAAAGGCTTCATTTTTAAATTAATTTTGTAATTAATTTGTGTTTCTTGGAGGGGAGATGCACCCTGCCTTCACGGCCTTTCACCTGGGGCTGCAGGGGAGAGGAGCAGAGGTGACAGCCAAGCCTGGGAGGGGACAGGCCAGGAAAGGATGAGAACAAGTGAAAAACATGAATCCACCTTTGGCATCTCTCAAGCAGGATACCAGACATGAGGGCACCTTCCAGTTTATAGCGGTGCAAGTGGACACTGCAGCCAACAGCCCTGAGCTGTCACCTGTAAAGCATCACCTCCAGACCCAGCAGGGCCAGAAAGCTCTCCCAGCCCTTACAGCCACCTCTCTCCCACCTGGCCCCTGTGCCAGCCACAGCACCGAGGGGCACAAGGACCTCTTGGACCACCCCCCCCCAGGAACTTTTCCTGCAGGGTGCAAGAGAGGAAGGGCCCGCTGCCCCCCCACCCCAACCCCTGCAGGAAACCTCATTGTTCTCAGAACTGCAGCTTCAAGAAACACAGGATGCCAAATCCCTGCCGAACAATAGCTGCCAGTGCTCCTCGCAGCCCCGCACAATGCACGGCCCCGCGGCCGGGACTCGGCGGCACCCGGGATCCCCGTGGTCAGAACGGGCTCAGCCCCCCCAGCTGGAGCCAGGCAGCCGCCGGCAGCCCCCACTGCCTCCTCCTTGCCCTTGGGGAAGGCTCTTTTTTTTTTTTTTTTTTTTTTCCATTTCTCCTTTCAGGGTGACTCATTTCCCCTGCACTGGTGGAGCTGGTGGGTTGCTCATGGCTGGGTGCTGCACAAGGTGTCCCACCAGCCAGGGCCACCCCGGGGTCATCGTGGCCCTCTCTGTGCTGCCTGGCAGAGTGAGTCTGTGACTTCCCAGGGTGACACACTCTCAGCATACCCCATGCCTGCCACCACCCCACCAGCACACCAACCAAAAGGGGAACCTCAGACAGGCAGGCACCCCGTGACCCTGCAGAGCACAAATCCTGACCCCGTGCCACATCTCACTTCCCCATGCTGGCAGAGGATGGAGCACTCCAGAGCCCTTTTCACAGCCACCCCACTTGGGTGCAGAGGAAAGGAGGCAAGAAGTGCTGGTTGGGGGGGCCTCAGTCTCCAGCTGGTGAGGCGTTCTGGAGGGGTTCTGGAGCAGGTCAGGATGCTGCCAGAGCTGCCCAGCTTTGTGTCCCCCACAGCAAATGTTCTTCTTTTCCCTCCATCCTAAGGGTTTAGGGGGGAAAATCCCCACCCTTCTTCACCAAGTTGGGAGCAGTGTGGTGGCGATGTCCCAGCAATGACAGCGTGCCACGATGGCACCAATCCATGGTGGTGGCTTTCCCCAGGACCGAGGGCAGGTCTGTGCTGGCACAGGATCTCAGGGCTGGGACCTGCAGAGGCGGTGAAGGGGCTTGCAGGGCCGCGGGCCCTTCCTCCCCCTGCTCCCTTCAGCAAGAGGAAGAATCCTCCACTGTAATTTTAAATGCTATAATTTTTAATAACCTCCTTACAAACAATGAGCTCATTGTGTGGCAAGGGTCCCCCACCCTCCCGCCTGGTGCTCCACGCGCCGCTCACCGGCTCCAGGGCTTTTATGGGCAAGGACAGCAGCATCGTTTGGGACAGGCAATTAAGGGGCTCCCACCCCTTAAACTCACACAGGCTGCCCCGGGGGATAGCAGGGAGGGACCCTCACACACGATCCGAGTTGATCGGTGCTCAGCAGGCCCTGGCACACAGCCCAGGGCCGGGGGGAGGCAGCTGCACCGCGGAGCTGGTTTGGGATGAGCAGTCCCCGGTCTCAGCCGCTCTGCTGGGAGCGCAAGTGAGACTCGCATGCCAGCACACTCCAGCATGTGGGTGGGGACCCTGGCCAAGGTGCTAGAGAAATTTGGGAGCCGCCATCAGAGGAGCGTGCTCTTTGGAAGGCAAACCCGTTGGCTTTGCCCCGAGAGCAGGAATTTTTCAAAGGCTGCAATTACCGCGCCGCCGAGCGGGAGGCAGCCAGCGGATCCCACGCTGCCGGCACGGCGGCCCGGGCTGGAGCCCTGGCGGGCTCCGAGGCGTGTGCCGAGCTGCCTGGATGCCTCTGGGGTGCCCCAGGGACACCCAGCCGCCTTCAGGGTAACCCCAGGGCCAGCAGAGGTGTCTTTGGCGACTCTGCTGCTGCAGATCACCCGGCAAGAAAGCGGATTTGGACTTCCTCCTGTCCAGGGTTTCTGCTCAGTGGTCATTTTCTTCCCCTCTCTCTTTCCTTTCAAGTGCGAAGTTTCTCCAGCCCACACTCCAGCATCCTAAGGATACTGAGACAGCTGGAAACTCTCCCCAAATCAAAGAGGGGAAAGCCCATAATTCTCCTCCAAAAGCAGTTTGTCTGGCCTGGATTGTGCAACCCAAAGAGGAGATTTAGAAGGGAACAGGGATGTGCTCTCCCTGTGCAGAGAGGCAGGAAGGAGGAGGGGGTGCCCTTTGCAGTGTCTTGGAGGTGACAGAGGGCAGGAAACAGGGACTATTGTGGGCAGAACAAAGAACAGCCAAGGAAGGACACAATGGCTGTTCCCCCTATCTGCCAGGGTCCAGGCAGGAGCTACCTGCTGGATTTAACCCCTTCTCAGCAGTGTCTGCATCCCTCCTGCCTGGCTAATGAACAGCCAGAGGGAGGCTGGGGTCTGAGTGCGAGGCAATCAGGAGAAAGAGACGCAGCATCAGGCAAAGGACATTCTCAGCCCTTGGGCAGGAACTTCCCCGCGTTGGTGAGGCAGCTCACATGCCTGAGCACCGTTAGTGAAACCCAGAGTGAGAGAGGATGAGCAGAGACAGGCCTGACTCAGACCGAGAGAGACGTTTGAGCGAAGGCAGTGCCCCGCTGCCACCAAATCACCCTCCTGGGATGGAAACCAGGGGGCCAGGCAAGGAAGAGATGCAGGAACTGCAGGGAAGCAAGAAAGAAGAGCCCCATAGCACCAATCCCACACTCTGCAGGCAAAAAAAAACAACTTGATGCCAAGTTTGGGGAAGCCCAGGGTGCCTCAAAGCTTCCCAGGGACAGCGGTGTGGGAAGAGCAGAGCAAGGGCAGGGCAGCCTCATCCCCTTTGCCTCGTGTCCCCACAGCCCTGCTTTGCTCCACGGGAGTTTGCGCTGCCTCCAGCTCTCTCGGCAGCTCCTTGTCCTCAAGTGCTGTACAAGAGCCGTCACTCAGCGGCTTGGCTTGTCAGGCAGGCACCTCGCCGGGCTGCGGCCCCCCTGGCTTCATGGCCCTCATCTCTAGGCAACCTGACCTGGACACGGCCGGCTCCGGCTCCCTCGTTCCCATGGAAAGTGCCACACAAGAGGCTGCGAAGCCTTTTCTCTGCGCCAGGAGAAAAGGGGCTTTGTTAGCTTGCCCAGGGGGACAGCGTGAGAGCCGAGCCTTAGGGCTCTGGGAATCCAAACGGACAAACGAAGCACAAAAAAAAACCCTAGAAGAAAGCCGGAGCTCACAAGAGGGAGAAGAAAAAAAAGAGCAGCCATTCCCAGGATCATCTGTAGGTGCTCAAAGAGCGTTTCACTCCACCACCACTCACCACCCCCTCGCAGTGACAGCAGAGCATAAAAGAGGTTTCCACTAAATAACTGGACCAAGGAGAAGTGGCAGATCCACTGCCAAGCCTAGGAAAACTGAGGGGAAAAAAAAAAAAAAAACCCACCCCAAACGACAATTCACAGGGGGAAAAAGTAGGAAAAAGTAGTTTTTGGGTTCTTGGGGTACAGTGCAGGAGCCAAGACCCCACAAGGTCCAGCAGACTTGGGTGAGGGGGGCATGGGCAGGTCAATCCTTCCCCCATGGCCTCCACCCTCAGCCACTCCAGATTTCCAAGGAAAACAGTTTGTGAGCAAGAAACTGAGTTCCAGGCCAGGAGGAAACACGTGAAGACAGTAGGAAGAAAAGGTTAGGACCAGACATAACTTACTTTTGGGAAGCTGTCTAAGGGTAGAAAAAGTGTCTTAAGAGCAAATGGCAAAGCACATTTCCTAAGGAAACAGCTTGCTTTTTTTTTTTTTCCTTTTGAATTTTGCTTCAGTACTTGAAGGACAGAGTAAGGGACTGCCAGGACTCTGGGCAGGACATCAGTAAGGTCAGGAAGCAGACTCGCTGGAACTGCCCCGGTGTGAGTGAGCCGGTGCAGACCCACCAGAGCTCCCAGCAACTCCAGTCCTGCCCAGTCCCTTGCCAGGAGACTGAGAGCTTCAGCACATCCCGGCGCTCTCCCAGCCCTGGGCTGATAAACCGGGTGTCCTTTGAGCAGCACAACTGCAGGACCTGACCCAGATTGTGGCACGCACGGGCTGGGCTGCACCCCTACACCGTGCCTCAGTTTCACCAGCCGAAAGCAACGCAGACCAGCTCTGCAATGGGAGGTACTCAGGGGAAAGGACCCCGGGGCAGAGTCTGGGGAGGCTTCTGAGTGTGAGGAGCCAAGGTCGGGCTCTCTCCATCACTCACCCTACAACGCTGCATTTCACCCTCCCGAAAACACAGCTGGCTGCAGAACAGCCCAGCCAGCTTCGGAACACCACCCGGCTCAGCGATACGGGGGAAAAGGGAACGGCAGGTGGTATTTGCTGGGTCACGGCACCACCCGGAGCGCACAGAACGAAGGGCCAGGACCGCGGCGGAGAAGCCCGGGCTCCATCCCGTCCCGAGCCGCTCCATCCCGGCCAGCGGAGGCGACCAGCCCCGTCTCCATCCCTGTTCCCATCCCTTACCATGTCGCGGTTGCGGGAGATCCAGGTGTCGAGCAGCAGCTCCAGCCGCGCCTTGTGAAACTTCTTGGTGGTCTTGACGGCGATGAAGACATCGCGGGGGGAGATGTCCTCGGCCGGCGGCCGCGGGGGGCTCGGCGGGGCCGGGGGCAGCTCCCGCCGCGCTCGACTCAGCCGCCCGAAGTAATCGGCGAAGCTGCGGAGCCCGGGCGGCCCCTGCGCCGCCGGAGGAGCCACGGCCGCCGCCGCCCCCAGGCTCTGCAGCGCCCGCTGCGCCCCGCCGGCCTCCCCCCGGGCCAGCCCCGGCCTCCCCGGCGGCTCCACCATGAGCACCAGCAGGCAGGTGAACATGGAGCCCACGAGGGACAGGAGCAGCTTCCTCCCGCAGCTCTTCAGCATCCTTCCTTCCCTCCGCTCCTCGCCTCTCCGCGCCGCCGCCACCGCCGGCCCCCGCTGCGCCGCCGCCTTTAAACCGCGCCCGCCCCGCCCGGGGAGGGACGGAGCCGGGGCCGCCCCACTCGGGGCGTGGGCACCGCCCGGCCCTGCCCGGGGACCGCCCGAGCCCCTCCGACCCCCGCGTCCCCCCCGCCAGCCCCTGCACGCGTCCCGGTTCCTCCGGCCCCGTCCTGCCCGCTCCGGTCTCTGCCCTGCGCGTCTCCGTGCCCGCGGCCGGGAGCGCACGGCTGGGTGCGGGCAGGGTGCCGGTGCCTTTTTCTCCTCCTCCTCCTCCGCCCTTTCCCTTGATACCCGGGGATGGGGACGCTCTGGTCCCCTGTAGCCCCCAGCGCGCTGGGAGCATCGTTTGCTGCTCTGTCGGCAGCAGCGGGTGCGTTCCCCGTCCCGAGCTGCCCAAAGCCCTGCACCGAGATGTTCTCACAGCCCTGTCCAAGTGGTTTCCAGAAAGCTGACCAGCCTGACCAAGCTCCAGGCATTGTCCCATCTCCTGTGAGGCAAAGCATAATTGAAAACAAACACACCAACCCCCCCAAAAACCACAGCACTGCTCTCACTTCCACCAGGCTCCATTCTGGTGCGTAAATCTGGGGACAGAGAGCCAGGAGTGTCTGTTCTCATTCCTTCTTCAGCGAGACCTGGAGAGGCTCCCAGACTTGACCAACCTCATCCCAGGCACAGCACCGTGCTCTGAAGCCCCGGAGTTCTGGGATATCTGAAAATAAATGTTGTATAGGTACCAAGCAGCCCACTCCTCCCACCTCCAGTGATCACTAATCATGATAATGATTGCTTGTTAAATGAGACACCATTTTTCCAGCAAGACAGCTAGAGATGTGGTGCCTGAAAGAGAAAACTGGTTTGATATCGGGTCTTGGATGTGCCACCAACTTGATATTTTCCTGGCGCCGAATCCCGGGGCCTCTTTCCCCCCTTACCCTCTGTCTCTGCAAGCAGTAAGCTCTTGGGGTTTTCTTTCCCAGGGAGTGTGCTGCTACAGGGAGGCGGATTTGGGTTTGGGCCTGGGCTGCAATGTAATGCCATAATCAGGGGCTGCTGCATTTTTGGGCAGGGACCTTGTCCAACTTGCATTTTTCCTGCTGTCACGTGCTCCATTCATCTCTGGCACTGGATAAACAATACCATAATACCAGGCAGGATGAAGCAGGGAAACTGCTTCCTCAGGCAAGCCCCAGCATTTGCCTCCTCTTGATTTTAGGCCATGCATTCTCTTGGTCAGCACTTGAACCATGATCCCAGGCTAGAAACACTCGGGGAGACTTTGGGGCTTCATTTTCCAGGGCATTGGCCATGTCTGGAGACAGACCTGGATTGCCAAAGAAGCCTCCCATAATAAATTTAAAAAAAGTCAGTTGGACCGTACAAACACAGGAACCAAATCCCACACTCCCCACTTCCCGCTATTGCTGCCCAGCCTTCCAGTCTCAATTTGCTTTTTTTTTTTTTTTTTTTTTGGGCGCCCTTTGTCTCCAACCCGATGGCACAGCAACCGCGGCTCGAGAGGCAGCTGAAAAGCCCGAGCAGCAAAACCCTGAAAGAAGAAAGAGCCCCTTTCTCCAGGAGCCAAAAGGGGAGGAAAGGCACTTTTCCCCCGACCAGCTGCTCTGCCACTCCCGCAGCCCCGGCACTGGCTGGGGACACGCGCTGTGGCCAGATGTTGGGGTCCCAGCCGGCGCCGCGGGGCAAGTGACAATGCAAGCTCTGTGTGCTCTCTGTGTGCATGTCCCCGGAGATGCAGGGGCTTGAGGAGCCGCTGTGCTGCCACCGCTGCCGGCACAAGGGCTGTCCCAGCCTGCCAGCACTGCCTTACCCCACCCCGGCTCTGCCCGGCTGCGCGGGGAAGTTGTTCTTCCAGCAGCACTGTCCTGCCAGAACAAGACTCCTCCGGGATTGTCCAGCCGCTGGCCGCATCCCCACAGATTTCCCCTCCAGGCGCCTCGCCTCCTGGCTCGGCCCTCACCTGCCACGTGGATGTCGGCAGCGAGGCACTGGTTCCCCCAGGGAAACCCTGCTTGCTCCGCAGTGGGCACAGGATGGCACCTGAGGGGCAGGGAGCTGGAAGTGAGCATGGGAAGGATGCTCCCAGGAATGTTTGGTGCCCCGTTCACTGGTATTCAGACAATTTTTTGGGTACAAAAATCTTCAGCCCAACAGGGGTGACTCCAGAAGCGGACAAACTCGGGTGGCCCATAAATACAAGGGGCAGGGGAGATGGGTTCTGTCACAGCTGCTCTGCAGAAGCCATGCCAAGGCTGGACCAGGAGGGGCATCTCACTCCCTCTCCCAAAAAGGATCCCATTTTGGACACAGTGCATAACTCCCTCCACTGATGTGTGAGGTGAGATGTGGCTGCAGGGTGGTGGTGTGCTCCCCACACTGCCTGATCCCACAGGAATGGTTCCAAGACAGAACATTCTGCTCAAATGCCCCAAATCTCAAGGATATGATCGCTCCCATTTCAGATAAATTTCACTGAAACTTCAGACTAGTTTTCCACTGCAGATAACTGGATTCAGCCCCGCACCAAACCCAGGGCTGAGGCTGCACGTGGGGCATCTCCCTTTCAGCCATACCACGGTATTAGCTCGGTTTAAATTGGTTTAAACTCTCCGCATCGCCCCTGCTCGCAGCCTGACCCCGGCACTCAATAGGTGGTCCCTAAGAGGCTCCCAGGTTCTCAGGGCTACTAAAAATGGTTAATAAATCCCCAGTAATAAAGTGTTCAGGTCATCCGAGAGAAATGCCGCGCTCGAGCTGCAAAGCTGCATTGTCTGCCCGCAGCGATTTACGCGCTCCGTCGGACAGGGGTTAAAAGCTCTGTCAGGCGCCGACTTCGCCGCTGAGGTATTGTCGGGGGTATTTAACGGGGTTCGGCCCCGACCTGCGGCCGGGCGGCCACTGCTCCCACTGTGCAGCTCAGGTTTGGTAGGGAGATGTCGGAGGAGGGCGGCCCAGGAGCTGGATCCTGCCCGTGGTCTGCCTCTCACCCCCCCCCCCCCCCCCCCCCCGCTTTTTCTTTCTGGGATTTTTCTGAGCGCACAAAAGAGATTTTGCATCAATTACTGGTAGGAAAACGGCAGAGCCCCGCGGCAGAACTCTGCGCTCCCGATCCGCGTTTGGTTAACTTGCCATTGTCTGATAGGCTCCGCTATTCAGGGCCAGGGCAAGGGCTCAGCTTTTTTCATCTATCTAGCGGTTTTTCAAAACACCTTCGAAACAAAAAACCTTCCTGCCCTTGTAGCAGAGGGTCCGGCAGTGCCTTTGAGGTGGCTGCAGAGTGGAGCAGGTCAGCATGTCCCTGCCCAGCACGCAAATCTCTTGCAATGAGTGCCTATGAAGCATCTCCTGATACTGAACTGTCCCCATGCCAATCAACCCCGATGTGCTCCAGCGCTGGCACCACCAGGTCCTGCTGCCAGCCCCCTCTACCCTCCGTGGCCCCAGACCCTACATCGCTTTACCCCTCCACTCTGGTCTGCTGGTCTCCTCGGCGGGGCGGGAGGACACGATTCGATCCGTGCAGGGCACTGTGAGATCCCACGGGGCCGGGGGCTATACAAATGCAAAGCGTCATTATTTTCCCGGGGCTGAAGCAGAGGCCTGAGAAAGGTTGAGTGAGAGAGGCAGCGAGCAGGGAACAGCGGGGGATTTAGCTCCTGAAAAGGAGCCAGGGAGAAAAGCGGGCGAGGAGTTTCATTGTGCGCTGGGCAGAGGGGGTCACGAGCAAGTTAAACTGGTTAATGTATTGGAGCAGCTTCCTCCGAGCTGCTGGGAGCAAGCAAAGCCCTCAACAAAAGGCTGAGGGAGCATTCTTGCGGGGAAAGTGGGCTCTCTTTAAAAGGATTTGATTTCTTTTCTGTCAGTTGAATGGAATTTGGTGGTGACTCCTCCAGGTCTAAGAATTTGGGGCTTTGGCGGTGGTGGTAGCGGGAAGGGACAGTCCCTGTCTCCCCCCCCAACTCCCCCCCTCCCCATTCCTGCATTTTTCTCCATCTCCAGGCCCGCTGCCTCCAGATTACAGCTCCCGGTGTTGCAGGGGGGAGAGGAGCTGGGGGAACACAAGCGGCCCCAGAGATGCTCTGATCCCGAAAGAAAGCGAGGGGCACGGGGCCGTCCCTGCCCAGCCTGGTTTCTCATGCTCCCTATTCAGCCCAGGGGAGGGGAGGAAGGTGTGGGGAGAGGGGGGACTGGTGGGGCATCCACTGCTGATTTAATGCCTCTCTCAGTGCTTCACGGCCGAGGTTGATCTCAGGGGAGTTTTGGCAGCGTAAGGTGTGCAAGGGGAGCTTTCCACTCCTTCCCCTGGGGCATGGAATTTTGATGTTAAAACCATGGAATGAAGGTAAAAACATGAGGGAAAGGGATTTTCAACTATCAAAATCAGCTGGATGTATCTCCTCTTTCCTGTAGCCTGTGCATCTCTCTCCTCCCAAGAGCAACTCCTGGGGCAGCTGAGGACTGTGTTCACAGACCTGGCTTTGTCACCCCAAAATCCCTGAGCTGGTGGGCAGGAGCACTTCCTCTTCATGGGTACAGCTGCTGGGCCATGGGGGGGTCACACTGCTGCCAGCCAGGGCTGCTGGGCTGGATGCAGCAGTCTCTGGCTGCAGGTGCCTCGTGTGGTGCTGACCCTGAGAGCAAACCAGGGAGATTTACAGCTGCCCTGGGCTGGAGATTGGCTGTTGCACACTGCTCAGACTAACTGGCAGCGTGGATTTGGGGTGGGAAAAGACAATAATTAAATAAGCAGTGACTGTGACTGGTAACCCTGCACTGCATGAGGTTATCATAGAGCCAGAGCCTTCAGCAGTGCTCAGGTAGCTGGACAGACAGACAGCAGCTTTCCACTGACTGAGCTCAGCTCGCTGTGCCTCAGTTTTCCAAGAGGTGACATTGTCAAAGACACCATGGTCCCTGTCCCCTGGGCTGGTGCCTGTTTGGGAGATTCCCTTGTGGGCTGTGCATGGAGCCTGCACATGTCGGTCTGTACGTGTCCGTCTGTACAGGCAGA